TTTGGAGGTAAGTGAACAATGATATCAGCAAGATGTTTATGATCTGATTGGATGGTTTGAGGCAATATTAACGATAGCTTTGAAATGTCGTTTGGTATGGATTCTCTTGGTATGGATTCTCTTGTTGAAACTAATGTTGATGGAGTGGCATTTAAGTTGCAGCAAATAAGTTTGTCTTTTTATTAGAGAGGTTTTGTGTGCTTAATGTTCAGGCTGGTACCACTGTGTTCTTCAGTGTTATCGGCTGGTACTCCAAGGGAACCAAATCAGTGAATGGCCATGCTTTTGGAGCCTGGGGAAATTCCTCACCCAGCATAAGTTAACCATTCATGAAATTAATTTTCCTCACAAGATTGAGGAAGGAGGGGAAGATAACCGTATGAGTTGAGCTTTGTCATCAGAGACGGTTCGCTGCAGTTTTTCTCATTACAATTACTATTACCCTGTTTTCTTTTACTTCCTGATTTTTTTTTAATTTTTGCATTTGTTTATGTTGTCCAATGTACAATATTAAATGCCTTTTCACAATTGCAAAAAATGACAAAAAACTATTTATTCACTTTAAAGTTTACCTTGAATGCAAATGGCTATGAGTCTAACAAACAAATCAACATTGTCAATTTTCTGAGGAAAAATGAGGGTGATGCTAATATTTAGAAATAAATTACACACCACCTGGTCTCCGTATGCAAGCTAGCCTCTTTCCTGGTGTTCTGTGCCATTATAAACTCTATTACTGTCTCCTGTGTGATTCTGGGATCACAACTAAGTAGTTTGTGCTATCAGTGAGCTGCAGATTTAGGCAAGAAAAAAAATGTCATCATATTTTCCAAAAAAAAATCCTTCCCTTCTGCCCGGGCTCGTTTGAGGTCATTACATGTTCAACAAGCCGCTCATAATCTCTTTTCCCATAAACCCTGTGTGAAAGTGCAAAAAGGAAGAGGAGTTTGGATTGTGGCCTAGTACCGAGCTCACCCAGTCCCCATATGTCATTCTGTTCTGTCTCTTGTCTATCGGGTTTAGTTGAGAATACAGTGTGTTAGTGAATGTGTGTGTTCTAATGGAGTGGCTCTTGGCAGTGTGTTCTTTATGACTCTGGCCATGATGACTAGACATAGAAAAAGAGAGTGAAAAAGAGAGTGAAATTAATCTCTACAGCCAGACCCCTCTGTCTTACCCAAACAACACCACCTCATATTTCAGGCTCTTGAATGACCAACAGCACCTCATTTATCCTCATAATATTCTTATTCTTCAGCACCCTTCAGAAATATCAGCTGCACAAATGCAAGCATTCAAACATATCTTCTTAATAATCTTGAAAGTGGTATAAGCTGTTATATTTGGAATACCAATCACTACTACTACTACTACCAGATCATTGAAATTAGTGTCTTGAGCAATAAAACTTTGTTTCTGTGACAGTCCAACAGCCAAAATTAACCTGAGCACATGCTTGGCCATTCAGAAACCAAATGGCTAACAATGCTTAGCATTTTTAACTCTACCCACGCACATTCACTCTCTAACCACGCACATTCACTTTTTCAGGTTTATAAAATGCTATAATCTTGTCGTAAAACTGTATTTCTTGGTATTGCGAACAGGACGAGGCTGAGTGACTTGAGAGCGGTGCAAGGCCGGTGGCGTAATGACCGGGGCATCTCACATGTGTCGCTCATTACCACTCACACATCCGGCCTCATGCCGCTCTCACGTCATTCGGCCTCGTCCTGCTCGACACACTTAGGTTTTAAGGTGAGATACTGACTGGGAACACTCGATTACCACTTTACTGTTGACAGTCCCCTGTGTCTTCTCCTCAAACTCCTGCTTGTCTGTCACTTAGAAATTTCCTCTGCTTTTCAAATACAGCTTTTACTCTGTGATCTGACTGGACAGATGATGGCTGAGTACAACTTTAAGCTGTCAAAGTTGTAGTTTAATGTTCTGGGTGCCGATTAAAAGACCATTCAAAAAAACAGGCTCCAAGTATATAAAGTCTGAGTCACAGGAAGTATATTTAATTCATGGTTCCCGCTATTGTGAATTTATGCACATATTAATAGTGCTGGAGTGCTCTAAACATAGGCTGAAGATGGTCAGTTGGTGGCTGGATACTAGGGTACTGTATACCCAATCATGCATTCATTTATTTACTCTTCATTCATTCTATTATTTACGTAAATAAACGTATATATTTGAAAAATTGTGCATGTTCTTTCGTTGCTCTTAGGATACATGTTCTCCCTGTGTGGTTTTCATTTACCTCATGTTGCAAAATGTCCACAGAGATCTGTTTGCTGACTCGAGGCAGAAGAACAGCCAGCGTCAGAGCGGACACATACTGTCGTCTGTACTCGCTCTCTGTGGACCATTTCAACGAGGTGTTGGAGGAGTACCCTATGATGCGACGCGCCTTTGAGACAGTAGCTCTCGATCGCCTTGACCGCATAGGTGAGAGCTGCCAGTTCATCAAGCTTATGTTCTTCACAGCTGCTCTGAGATGTCCTTGAAGAGTGGATGGTTTAATAAGCGGTCATATCTTGTCCCTTGCTTTTATCATTTTTTCAGTTTGCAACCCTTTTTACTTGCATAATGTGTTGTATTATAATCTGAAACAGGATATTCAATAAGAAAAAATGTTTTTGCTAAACCAATGTTTAAATAGCTGTTTGGCTATTGGTTAACATTTATCGAACAACCCATATGGCTTAAGTCAGGGGTGTCCACTTTCCTGCAGAGTTTAGGTCTAACACAACTGCCTAGAAGTTTCGTGATCCTCTAGGCATGAACTATACTGTATGCATCTTTCTTTGCCTTTTGTCTAAGACAAGTAACTTTGATCCATTTTGATTTCATGTTGATTAATGTGGACTCATTTACATGGATTAGTTCTGGAATTGCCTGTCCAAGTACAGGTTCAAGCAATCAGAGGAACCATTCCATATTAATCACATTAAATAAACATGTTAATTTTCCCAGCCTTACATTTTTCTTCCTTTTAAAGCTTAAGTCAAACTACATTGATTTTGTTATCCATGCTTCCTTTTTGTCCTCACAGGAAAGAAAAACTCTGTCCTTCAGCACAAGGTCCAGCGGGATCTTAATTCTGGAGTTCTGAACTACCAAGAAAATGAGATCATCCAGCAGATTGTGCAGCACGACAGGGATATGGCCCATTGTGCCCACCTCATGCAGACACCTCCCCCAGCTCCTCACCCAGCACCGACTCCATCTTCCCACACCCCCGTCATCTGGGCACCTCTTATTCAGGCTCCACTACAAGCTGCCGCAGCCACCAGTTCCGTAGCCATTGCCCTGACTCGCCACCCCCATTTGCCCCATTCCCTCTTCCGACCCCCTGTCCCGCTGCTTGGCTCGCTGAAAGACCAGCCAGGATATGTAAAGAGGTTCCCAACTGCACTTTCGGGCGCTGCTGCATTTGGTGGATCCTCATCAACCACCCAGTTCAGCTCTTGTATAGAGACCCCAATTCTGGACACACTCAGGGCTGAGAGATCATCTAGCTCCACACCTCCACCACCGCCATCCACCATCACAACAACTGTCACCACCACCACCTCCAGCATCACAGAGTCTCTCTTCTACCCTCATAGACCCCTTGTCTCCCACAGGTCCAAAGACTTCAGTGTTGCCCAGCTTCATTCTCAACCACAACTTCCTCAGGCCTCTTTCCCCAGCATTGCTGCATCACTTCGTGGTATCTTCCAACAAGGAGCAGTTGGAGGAGAGGCTGTCCAGCTTTCAGTTCCCCCTACATCCACCCTTACTCCTTTGATAGCGCACTCTGTAAGTCCCATCCTGACCCAACTTCATTCAGCTCAGCCAAATCCTCAACCAACAAAACCAAGTCAAGACTTGAATAAAGTTAAAAGGACAGCCTCCCAGTCTCCTGTAACAGAATCCCCTATCGACTCCAGGAGCATTCTTGAACAAGTCTCGGGTCCTACAAGTCCCATCCCATCCCAACAAGTCCCATCCCAGCACACTCAGATTAGTCTACAGCCAGATGCTCTTTCCCAGCTTTCCCAAGAACCCTCTGCTCTTGCTTCCCTTGCACAATATGGGTCTGGAAATGTGTCCCCATGTAGCACACCTTCAGCTTGGAGTCCCACGTGCCAGAGTCCTACAGTGGAGAAGATGAGGATGTCCATGCACAGCAACCCTGCTAGCATCTCTGGATCCCAAAGCTCACTCCTAAGCCCTCAGACACTCTTTCCACCACCACCTCAAACAAGACAAAGGGGTGGATCTCTAGTTGACCTACCCTCACAAGACTTAACCACCATTTCCAAGTCCCTCCCCATCCCAGGACTACCTGAAAAGTCCAAGTTAGTTGGAAGAGGACCAGAACCGCCAGACTTATCCCATCACAGAGGATCGGCTTCAGGTTACTCACCTCTCCCATCGCCCCCTCCGATTATGAAACCATTTAGCTCAATACCTGGTCATGTTGTCCTATCGAGACAAACTTCCAAGTTGTCCATAACTCAGACTGGGTCCTCAGGTGGGTCACCAGCCCATGGGTCTAGTGATAGGTCCACCCCTGGGACACCAAGCTTGCACCCAAAACTACCATCGAACTTGTGAGAATGGTCTGCACCCTCCTGCAATGATTGAGCAACTTTTTTTGACATTTCTCACCAGAGAAGGAGGGTGTATGTTCATCTATTTGGATTTTTTATTGGTCCAATGACTTCCCTATTTGTTATGCCAAACGAAGAAATGGATTAAAAACTGATAGAAAAATTAAGGTGGGACTTAAATTTGTCTTCCATGTTCTGTCAGTAATTTTTGCAATATTATTGTCTGATGATAAGACTGTATAGGGATATGCAAATTATGACTTCCAAAAAAAAGTTATTTCAAAGTAATAATTCTAAAGGATGTATGTATGTTTGTGATTGTGTGTACGTGTGAGTGTGCGATTGCTATTGTAATGTTATAATAGTGTGGTCTTTTTAAAGAAGGGAATTATGCTGGGTCAGGGAAGCAAATCTACATTTGTCCGTCGCACTTCATCAGTCACTGTGAAAGAACACGTCGTACAGGTCTCCCCGGGCAGGTGGCACTAGCACAGGTATATATACAAACAGAGATGCACACAAACATTCACACATGCACAATCAAACCTAGCCCTCAACATCCCTAGTATCTAGACCTAGTATGAACTTTCCGCTTGACCTTGACCCCATATCTCCTTGCTGACAAAGAGGTACTGCTCAGTATCTATGGCCTTTCCTTTTTGTAACAATACTGCCTTAGTGTCTGGACACCAGGGAATTACACCCTCACTTCCACAACAGAACCGAGAACATTAAGAATGTTTTGCAATCATTTTGTATGCGCTTTGTATGTGAATTTGTGCAGTACTTAAGCAATAAAACGGTATGCTTGGTTTTTGTACGTGCACAGAGGTTGATCTGTAAATTGCAGCTCTCTTCCTGTCAAACAAAACATACTGGAGGGTTGTTAATGGCAGTGACACAACAAATATGAAAAAAAGAGCCCACTGCAGTTACCAAAGCTCATGAGTTACACAAGTCATGTTAGAATTTGGTTTGTATCTTTTAACGTCCATTTGGCATCTGTTAAAATGCACATTTTGTATAATGCAGTTAGTTTATAGGCTACCCCACAATTTGCATGAGGTTGCAATATGTTTTCTGGTTGTGCAATACATGTTTTGGTTAGTATGTATTTCATATCTGTGAAATTAAACATTTTTGACAATTTGAGATGCATTGCAGCATAGGTACATCACTAACATGAAATAACTCTGCTAACACAATAGTTACCTTAGCACCTGCTAAGACATGGCATATTCGGCAGGTGGTAAAAGGAGGAATAGTATTTTTCTAAGTGTCCTTCCTTTTGAGCAAAGCTTACACAGCTTGATCATGAAAATTCCCTGCTTTGTCCCAGGTTATTATGTATTGTATAATTTATATGATTTTATAATACATGTCTATGTATATATCTATGTATTGTGTATGTGTTTGTTTTGTTAATCTGTATATTCATAATCTATATACTGTCACCATCAGTCTACAGATACTGTCATTATGCAACACTCGGTCCTTCCACTCAATTCTGTTCCATTCTTGCAATATGCATTGGATTATCATATTATTATTTAAATTTTCTGAGCCTGATTTTTTTCAAGTTAACATTTTCCCTCCATCGAAGTCGGATAAAATTGCAAGGCAAAATGCAAATGAGAGTGCTATGTGATCAAAGCATCAAAGAGATTTTTGTTAGTATTACAGAGCACACAATGCATTACACTGTAATATTTCTCTTTTTTCAGGAGTGTGAGTGTATGCGTGTTTTACTGTGCATTTATGTTGTAGCATTTTACAATATTCTGTGCATTAATTGTTTGTCATTACCAAAGTGAGGTTATACAGTAGCATTTAAACCCCACCAACGTCATTACAGACAGCCTCAAGAGTGTCATGTATGGATGGCCAGTGAGTTCATAAAGATGCACATTTTGGTTAAAAATGGTAATATTTCAAGACAGATTTTATAGTCACTGTATGGCAAAATGGTCAAGCCATATGGCATATCCACGATGAACACGTTGTGTCATTATGCATCAGATATACAGTGCACTTTCAATATTAATAAAAACAGCTTCAAACTGTCCCCTTTCAAATTTACAAACATAGCGTAATATTTTCACATTTTGAACAATTACAGCCTTTGTTTCCCTCTGTCTTTTTTTTTGGAGTTAGAAGATAGTCAACTTGCCATATTTGGTCAGTGTTTCACTTTATCTTGTTTAAAATGATAATTAT